GTTAAAGCAGATGAAGCGAAAAATGGGAAACATACAGCTATTATTCTTTCAACAGCTATTAGTGTCACCATATGAACGCTGATACAAACAGCACATTGGTTCCATCCTCGAAATCAGACACTATAAATACTATAAATATTATTAGTCACTATCAAGGAAAAATAACTAACAATCAATGATAGCTGGTTTACAATTTTTGTTGAGAGAAAAACAAATCAGATACTGCCAGAGCAGTTAATATAATGTTTGTTGGTTCGATTAATCATTTGAATGTTAGAATTATAATAGCGTACTTCCGAAAACTTCAAAAATCGAAATAATTGGAATTAAAAAGCTGTTTACAACAAACACTTCTTGTTCTAGAGAATTATTGGAAATTTCACAAAACGGCATTTTAGCAAATGGTATTAGACTTTTGTTTGTTACAGCTATTTCACCATTTATAAATGACATTATCGATATTTTTAATAAAACTAATAAGTGAATAGACCAAAGTACCAAATTAACGGAGAAAAATAAAACGGATTAACGGATAAATAAAAAACGACAAAATAAAGAATAGAATAACGGAATAAACAAATAAAACAAGAGAAAACATATAAAATAACAAGCGGATAGATGATAAACGAAGACACGCTATAATTAAACATTGTATGTTCTTTTAATTCAGATCTCACGAAATTGTTTTTTTTTTCTTTATCCAGTCTAAAATATTCATTGCTATTCGTATATGAATAAGTTCAAATATTTTCTTTTATTAACTATAGATTCAACAAGCTCTAACATAATATAAACCTTAACGCTTACATGAATTAAATTATTATTAACTTAAAATAGAACATTATTTAAATTTAGTCAAAACCCAATCTTAAACCATGTTGGAAATCTGAAAATTCTAAAATATTTTAAGCTTCTAGTTTAGAATAATAACTTTACACATTATTTGCATATAGTTTTTCTGTGGACTTTTGTTTACTAGGCCTACAATATTAATTCTGATGTAGACGTTAATTGTAATTAGTGAGGCAATTTATTTTCATTTTTTTGTCATTTTTAAACTTTTTTGTTGTTGCTTCTATTTGGTATTTCTTATAATCTTCAACTTTTCTTTTTCATTTGAAACACTACAAATTATTTAAATTACAATATCAATACAATCCTTTACTCAAACAGTTAATGATGGCATTTAAAATAGTTACACCAGTTGTTGTATTTGTAAATACAGACTATCTACACGTCGTAGCCGATTTACGTATTAGAATAAATGAAAATTATTGTGTGATGTTTTATATCTTATAAAGGAATGTACGTAATTATTGAAAAAAAATCTATACCTATAAATACATGGTTTTAAAAAATCATAAAAGACTAGCTTTCTAATAATTATTTGTTCAGTTAATTTGTGTTACTAATGTATATCCTTACAACAATGTGGGTTTAAGTCCTAACACTATAATTTAAAAAAATATCATATAAGGATTAACGATTTTGAAAGAGTTGTATACAAAGACGAGCTACAAACCGAAAAAAATGATAAAGTGGTATGATCTTAAGACAAAACATTACAACGTAATAATAGTAATAAGAAAAAAAGTATAGGAAATGAGAAAAAACAGAATTTCATATAATATAATACTTTTATTCGCTCTAATATATAAAAGAATAGTTTGTAGTTTATTACTGGGATACGAAGAGTATTTTTATATTTTTGTTTACGTATAAGAACATTATCACAGATAGGATGGATGGATGGATGGATAGATAGATGGATGAATGGATAGATGGATGGATGGATGGATAGATGGATGGATGGATGGATGGATGGATGGATGGATGGATGGATGGATGGATGGATGGATGGATGGATGGATGGATGGATGGATGGATGGATGGATGGATGGATGGATGGATGGATGGATGGATGGATGGATGGATGGATGGATGGATGGATGGATGGATGGATGGATGGATGGATGGATGGATGGATGGATGGATGGATGGATGGATGGATGGATGGATGGATGGATGGATGGATGGATGGATGGATGGATGGATGGATGGATGGATGGATGGATGGATGGATGGATGGATGGATGGATGGATGGATGGATGGATGGATGGATGGATGGATGGATGGATGGATGGATGGATGGATGGATGGATGGATGGATGGATGGATGGATGGATGGATGGATGGATGGATGGATGGATGGATGGATGGATGGATGGATGGATGGATGGATGGATGGATGGATGGATTGGATTGGATTGGATTGGATTGGATTGGATTGGATTGGATTGGATTGGATTGGATTGGATTAGATTAGATTGGATTAGATTAGATTGGATTAGATTGGATTGGATTGGATTGGATTTTCTAATGAACTGCAGTTAGCAGTTAATATATAAGCTCAAAATAAGATTGAAACCAACTCCAATAATATAGAAATATTAGCATTATACTATAAATCATATATTTTTAGATATCAAATTCTTAATTTTTGTTGTTAATTTACTAGTTTCATATTTACTACTTTAAGATTAAGCAGAGAAAGCAAAGCAGAATCATATTCACTTCGGAATACGTATTTCACTAACATTATTAATAACTTTAACCACGTTTAGTGTGCTACTCTTTGCATAACCAAACATGCAAGTCATAGACAATACCACCTCAGCAAAAATATCAAACATAGTGTTTGATGTTTCTTTACAAGTCGTGTATTGTGTCAATATATCGATAAACTGTCTAGTTCTTCCAGCTTTATGTATGTTTGGCATAATTGGTAATATTCTTACCATTATCATTCTTGTTCACAACGGCTTAAAGGAAACAACTAACATTATTTTAACAGCTTTGGCCGTGTCAGATATAATATTTTCATCGACATCTTTCTGCTATCCTATCATACGCGTATTAAAACTCTTTGACGGGGTGACATCATTTTTTATGAATTCTTATTATACAGCTTACGTATATGGATGGAACCAGTATGCTGTATGTATAAGTGTTCTAATGGTTACATTAATAGCTGTCGAGAGAATGATAGCTGTGGTCTTTCCTTTGTCACAGGTTTTCTAACACCATTTCGTATAAATTGTATTGTGGTCGGTATTTACATATTTACAATGTTACTGTATGTACCACGTTCATTTTTATTCGGATTTAGATGGACACACATTGACGTGATAAATCGTTCAGTTCCGTTACTTGAAGAAGGACCCTTTGTAAAGAATTATTATAATTTGTATTTCATTTACAATTATTGGATCTTAGGAGCATATGCAATCGTCATTCCAACCTGCTTAATTCTTATTTGCACTGTGTCAATAATTTTAAAACTTACAAAGTCAAACAGAAATATTCAAAACATGGCTTCATTGGAAGTGCAATCCAAGCGAACAAAGGATGTGAATTCGATTAAAATAACATTAACAATTTGTTTCTTTGTGGTCGTTTTAGTAGTTTTCCCATCGAGCTCATATTTTCTTATTCTACAAACTGAATACGTTATGTTGATAGGTTTTAATGCACAATGGACTATTGAAGTTTTCATAAAAGTAATTTATCAACTCAACGCCTCTATCAATTTTGTTATCTACGTCACACTTAGTCCAAAATTTGCTAACACTTACAGAAAACTATTTTTCTGTAAATGATTTCTTATAAGCTGTCATTCAACAAAATGCACTCCTACGCACTACACATATTTAAGACACAATAACAATGTTGCTTCATTTGTTCTTTTTAACCCTACAATAAATTGTTTTTCAGCTTTATGTAAAACAATAATATTTTACAATTTCAAAGGCGATTTTAATCAAGCTACTTCAAATACCTAAAATCAATAGGAAAGGCATAGAATGATTGCCGGTACGTATCCATACGGATTTGAACTCTGTCCCACTTCTATATAAGCACATAAAAAATGAAAAAAAATATTTTTTTCACTGTTGTTAATAAATTAAACTAAGTGCAACCATGAAAATAAGTAATAAGACACAATTATTATTTACATTTAGTCACTTTGTGAGGTTTAATAGCATTCTTTTAGTTTATTTTATTTGAATAATGAGTGTGGATTTTTTTAAATTTATTATTTAAAACATTAGTACTTCATATTATTAAACATGTTATGAGCACATTTTAAATGAATGATTATCTAATTTTATTTAAAATAAGTAATTTTAATAAAAAATATTTCAAAAGCGATTATTGTAAGTTTTATTGCATGTACATAATTATTTGTACAAAAATTTAAATTATTTTTTTTATTAATTATAAATACTATATTATGAAAGAAATATATTTAAATATATGTGTACATTAAATATATGTGTACATTTTTTGTGTATTTGTGAAAATCAACAAAATACATTCAACTATTTGTGTCAATTTCAGACACATCAGTAGCCTTCAAATGTAAAAGAAAATTTAGGAACATTTTAATGCTCCCATTTACGGTATACGCATTTAATTTTCACTTTAAAAATAAAATTTACTCTACAAAATGTAAAGACTTTTCATGTTTTAACTCTTCAAATTTGATGCCAACACATTTTTATTAGTTTTTGTCATCCTCGTTGTTACGTCCCTTACATGTCCCCTGCTTGTGTGTGTGTGTTGTGTGCTGGAACGACAGGTACCCTCCCTTTGGTGTATAGTTGTATCCCTTGGTTGAGTGTGTTTACATGGAGCGAGAGGTGTTCACGTGAGGTGTGTCAGGTTACGGGTGTCAGAGCGTGTGCCAGTGTGTGAATCAGTCTGTTGTAGGGTGGCTGTGGACGTGGAACATGGAACGTGGTGTTGAGTATTGTATTTATGTTGTAGACCCCTTTTGATCCTTTTATTATTTAAGTACTGTATATATTATTAAATATCTTATTATTATTGTTATTATAGAGTGTTAGTGTTATTGTTGTATACGTCGTATTTGTCTGTTGTTATTTATATACTTCTAGATTCTAGAACCCAACATTTGGGGGCTCGTCCGTTTAGCATGGCTACTACCAGGAGTGCCAGAAGACAGCTAATAAGTGACTTGAAGGAGGAGGGAAAGCTAATCGGGCTGACCGATGACAGTTTGGCGGAATGGGTAAAGGAAGAGTTGAGGAGGGTGGAAGATGCGAAGGTCGAGGTTGTAACAAAGGTATGTAACCCTGTAGCCCGCTTGAGGGACGTGGCGGCGATGACGGTGGACGAAGACCTGGGTGCGTATGTGAGGCATTTTGAGAGTCAAGCAAAGAGACAAGGCATTGACCCCAAGGACTGGTCGCTCCTTTTGACGGACAAGATGAGTGGACAACTGAAGACTTTCCTCGTTGAGACGGGACTGAACTTGCATCATGACTTCGAGTCAGTAAAGGTAAAGTTATTCACGCACGCAGGTTTCAACGAGGAAAAGTATAGGGTCAGATTCCACCAGCTAGTACCAACACACGACGACATGAGAAGCTTCGCAGTCAACACAGAAGCCGCTTTGAGAGCGTGGGTCCAGCAGTCGGGAATAAAGGAAACGTTTGAGGACTTGGTGAACCTCCTGATAGTTGATCGGATAAAATCGGTTGTTACTTGTGATCTGTTGGAGAGGCTGAATGGTGCTGCTAAGGTAAGTGTGGAAGATAATCTTAAAGTTATTGACAACTATAAGAGCATTCAAAACGCTAGAGTGACGAGGCCAGTAAACCAAACCCCTCCGTACGTCGCTGCAAGTTCTACAGCAGAGAGGATACCCTGACAAAACAAGACACCGCGATCTCCAGGACGCCACACTTGCCCTTCCACAGAAGAAATTGAGTGCTACTCATGCGGGGGAGTTGACCATATAGCGGGAGTCTGTCATACCTCTAGACGAGACAGGAGCGAATCAGGTAAACGACAGGCACGACAAGCTGGTTTACAACCGATGCATGGTGTCAGCAAGGTCAGTCTGAGCAGTAAATGCTACACATGTGGACGTTATGGACACTATGCCAGGGATTGTCATAGCAATAGTAATAGCGGCTTTACTTGGAGAAATAGATCAGATAAAAGAGCTGTTGTGGAGTATGGAAACAACAAAAGACCTTATCGGTGCTACAAGTGCAATGAACAAGGTCATATTGCCAAAGAGTGCAGTATGGATATAGATACAGGCGCCTGTTATAGCTGTAGAAAGCCAGGCCACATACAACGAAACTGTCCCAACGGGACCAGTGGAGCGAGCAACTGGCGTACTGAAAATGTACATCGACGGTCAGATGATCTCAAGTGTTATTGCTGCGGTGGTTTTGGTCACATATCACGGGTGTGTCCCTCAGCTCAGCGTGATATGTTAGGAAATTTTTCCCTGCTTAAAGACTCGCATATGAGAGTGAGGTAAAGCACGAAATTTGGAGGCGTATCCTTACAAAGGTAGTGTCCTTGGTAAGTTTTTTGTTAAGATAATGTATTCAATCAATGTAAATTTTTCTTTGTTTTTTTTTTTATACAGAAGCTGTGTATGATGATTACGGGCTGTAGATGATTAATGTAGTTAAAACGGCTATCGAGAAAGGAACTCAGTTTGATCGCCTTTAAGAAAAGATGACCATCTATGGCGACGTACGCATCTGCCGATGGGCCCTTACACTACAGGAAACAGCCTGTACTGTGAAACATATCAAGGGAACTGAGAACTTTGTAGCAGACATTCTATCACGAGTGTTTTACGCCAACTGGTGTATATGATATTGAGAAATGTATTATTGTAGGAGTATAGTATGATTATGTTAAGAAATTTACTATTGAGGCATTATAATAAAATTATATTTAGAAATGTTTGAGAAAGGTATTACTGATGCAGTTTAGAATGATTATGCAAATCAAATTTTTGTTGTGGCTTCTCACATGTATCTTCATAGGTTGAGATAGTCAGACCACGAGCTTGGTGCCCGGCCGGAGAAAACCATAGTCCACACTCAGGACCGAAATGTTAAAGCTGGATGCGAGCCACACTCTGGACCGAACTGTCCAGGCTGGATACAAGCCAAACGCTGTCCCCACCGGTCAAAGCGAGGCGTCCTAAGGGCTGAAGAATAAATAGTCGAGCTCGGGCAACAACAGTGGCTAATGGAACAAGAGCTGAAGGTGGAGGGGAGGGATGTTACGTCCCTTACATGTCCCCTGCTTGTGTGTGTGTGTGTTGTGTGCTGGAACGACAGGTACCCTCCCTTTGGTGTATAGTTGTATCCCTTGGTTGAGTGTGTTTACATGGAGCGAGAGGTGTTCACGTGAGGTGTGTCAGGTTACGGGTGTCAGAGCGTGTGCCAGTGTGTGAATCAGTTAGTTGTAGTGTGGCTGTGGACGTGGAACATGGAACGTGGTGTTGAGTATTGTATTTATGTTGTAGACCCCTTTTGATCCTTTTATTATTTAAGTACTGTATATATTATTAAATATCTTATTATTATTGTTATTATAGAGTGTTTGTGTTATTGTTGTATACGTCGTATTTGTCTGTTGTTATTTATATACCCCTAGATTCTAGAACCCAACACTCGTTGCACTTTTATAAAAAAATCATATTAAAATGGTCATATAGAAATGGCCGAAACTAAATTGAAAACTAAATAAAATTAAAAGGGAGCGTAGTCAGGTCAGATTGGCTTATTATCGCTTTACTGTAAACTCAAGAGATTGAACCAAAAAGTTGGTGAGGTGCGACAGCTCGAGACAACAACCCACCTAGGAAAGAAAGCAACAAATTCAAACACCTGTTGCCTTGAAAATTGTTCTTGGATAGATAAAAGCTATGGAAGCAAATACAGAAAGAAAGGTAGGCTAAGATTGGAGTTAACTGCCCTTAAGATACATAACATGTTAACACGAAATACCTAATTATGTTGGTGAACATTTATTACATCATCATACTAGAAAAACAAAGGAATAAAAGAGATATATTTAGTTGTGTAAAATATATGGCATGGTTGTGTTGTAGCGTATTAAAATGCAAATCTCCTGCATGAGTTCAGATCTGTTGGTATTGATGGGAGTAAAACACAGATTCATGACCATAAACGACCGTGAACATACAAGGGTAATAAAAAAAGAACGAATATCAGTGAACTCTGTGACTATGGAAAGGAACAAATATTAGTGCAAAAGATAATCAACGCATTGAATGGTGACGTTTCAGTAGGTTCGTTGTTGCCAGGGGGCGGGGGGAAGAGAAGTTTAGAGAGTAGTCTTGTTTTTGTTTTCTTTGGTTGAGGTCGTGCATCTAGTCAATTCTCAGTAGCGTTCGTTCAAGTCTTGTTATGTATTATTATTGTGTTATAAATAGTGGTGTTCAATTATATCATAATCCTAAATATAAGAAAATGTATCCAATAGGTACGAAAGTGACCCACTCTTTTCTGTATATTTATTTAAATAGTAGTGTATACTTTATTTTCTACATTTTAGTGCATTATTACTTAAAAGCTTGTTATTAAAACGTTTTTTATGATTTTATTTTCTTTGCAGTCAATATTTACCGTCTATTTTAAGCAGGGCGACCAATGTGTAGATGTGGTGACTACCTGTTTTTAAGTAACCTCTCGTGGCAGACCCGTGGTTAATGACGCAGCTAATTTTTTGGCAGAGATCACCAGAGCTTTTAAATTCGGGCTAATCAGAGGCTATTTATACGGATATGGTGTTTTTTATGTAGGTTTAGCAAAATAGAAACGCCGGTGCATTTTCTTAAATTTTCTTAAATTTCCGTATCAGGTTATAATACCGAGTCTGGATTCATCGAGTGTTAGAAATAATAATATAATTGAAATAAGTGATTTGCATTTTACATCAGCTTATAAGAGCATTAATCTATAATACCAAGCTTTACCATCACACATTAGAGCACACACAAACGAACAAGAATATCGTGATTTCTAAATTTATCCAAAGAAAAGCTTATGTGGTACCTGGTTTAGAAAGTAAACATGGGATTGAGAAACGCCAACAAATTTCAACAATGGAAGTGAACCGTGACGACTAAACACGCTAACAAGTACACCAACATAATTCATATAACTTCTTTACAAAAGCTTCATCACCATCTCAGCTGTTCGACTTATAATTTTCATAAAGCTTTAAACACAGGCGGGTTAATGTACACTGTGTTACAATACAATATAAATATATAGGCTACGTTTCACACAATTTATTTCAAAACTAAAACTCAATCAACTGGGTAGGTCTACTTTTTTCGATAGTCGTGCTATATAGCTATTTTAGGGAATCCAGCACGTGCTGCATTCCTTAACTTAGTGTCCACTGCATGAGTTAAAGTGATGAAATAAAAGAAAGATTTTTGATACAATAAAGATAAAAGACTTACCAGAAATATAAGTATTTTTGCAAATATATTAGCTTCTGAAACAAAAGAACTAGTATAAATATCCAGGTCCGGAATAATTGAATATTTAGTAGCACGCAACTTTAAAGTAAATTATTCTTTTAAAGATAAAATTGCTTATATTTCTTATCCCGATATTCTTTTACTATTTTAACAGTAGTAGTTTAACATGTACCTTTGATTTTTTTGTGACACGTCAAAAGAGCGCACGACAAAAGAGCGCCGACATAAGAGCGCAGACAAAAGAGCGCCGACATAAGAGCGCCAACATAAGAGCGCAGTCAATTAAAAAAAATACATGTTGTACGCTAAACGAATATGACATGGTTAACACTTGTTTTTATTAAACAATCGGCGAGAGAACAACGTCTTTATTTATATAATGGTTAATATGTTATGAATGCAGTTTGATAATATTTCTAACCCAAGTAACATGGAGAAGATCGAATCACAGAAAGGGAAAATTAATATGTTGGTCGAAGGCTACATATAGACAGGACAGGGCAAATGCTGATGGAAGTACGACATGGAGATGCTGCAAGAAAGATGGCTGCCGAGGACGGATGAAAATGCTGAGCGATGTTGTTCTGTCATCATCAGAACACAATCACGCTCCTGATCCGGTTAAAATTGAAGCAGCGAAAGTTGTTGCGGCTATACGAAAACGGGCAGTGGAAGGGACTTCACGTTGATTATACCAGATTTTTATTTAAAGAAACTGAACAATTAGTTTTTTAATGAAGTTAACATTAAACGATACCTACTAATCTGAGTTAATTTTCTTGTTTTATTTATTAAATATGGTTTTTCTATTTTTAGTTTGCGCTCTTATGTCGGCGCTCTTTTGTTGGGAAATTAGTGCGCTCTTATGTCGGCGCTCTTATGTCGGCGCTCTTTTGTCGGCGCTCTTATGTCGGCTCTCTTTTGTCGTGCGCTCTTTTGACGGGGTGCCGTTTTTTTGTTTAAAATATTTACATTAGATTTTTTTTACCAATATAAAGTCGTTTCATTGTTGTTAGAAAATAACTCTATGTTGTTTTTATGCTCTATTTAACTTACAGTTATAACATAAACACAATGTAGATCGCATTAAAACATAAATAATAAAATGTATTGAAGCGCTTATTTTTTACATGGTAAATATAAGGTTTGTTAATAAAAAAAAGCACAGCTGTAAGATATAATACTTCAATTACTTGAAATATAGTTAAACACGTTTGTTGGAATTAGAACAAGAATAAATAAACTTAAACATATATTCAATGATATTTTAATGGATCTGAAATCATTAACTCTCTAAGAGCAAACATCAAAGGAAGAAAATTGCCTTTATTTTTCTGTAAGAAATTGATAGCTTTATTATAATCATGGAATAACTATCGCAATGTTACTTATTAATGCTTGATTGAAATTAATAAACCAGTTGCTCGACGTAAAATTAGAAAATTGCAACAAATTATGGTACTGTTGACTTGTTCATAGAAAGCACAATCTACTTAATACATCGAGGGATATAAATAATCCAAACACAAATTATATATATATATATATATATATATATATATATATGGTTCCATGACAAATGATCTCAGGACAAATGATCTCAGACAAAATATCTCAGACAAAATATCTCACGGACAAATGATCTCAGGACAAATGATCTCAGGACAAATGATCTCAAGGACAAATGATCTCAAGGACAAAAGATACCAGGACAAAATATACCAGGACAAATGATATCATGGACAAATGATCTCAGACAAAATATCTCAGACAAAATATCTTACAGCAAAATGTTGATAGTATGTACAATGATTTTAGTTCATTTGAACTTTTTTTTTTTAAATTGACTGTCACTATGGTTTTGTTTACTAATTTCTTTACGCATAATAATTGTGAATAAAATGAATTTGTTACACTTAACAAACCATCAAAAGATTTATTTAACTTAATCTTTGTAATGGCCTTTGATTTGAAAAAATAAAAATTAAAACAAACTTTCTCCATTAGCCTGAAAAGTATGATAAATGATAATGTATAAAACAAAGTAACGGTAGCTATACAACAATAATGTTTAAAACATGCGAAATATCTTTCAAAAATGTTAATGGGTCTCTAAGTTCGTAACGTAAAATTATTGTTTTTAT